CCATGATTAGCCTAAACGCCCGATAATTTTAATAAATTGAATTCCCCTGCCTCAAAGAGTTAATTAACTCCAAATTTATGTTCAAATTAAAAAACAAAACAAAACAAAACAAAACAAACAACGGCAACAAATTTTTAACGAGGATAAACAGAAAAACTCGAAATTGGAAAAAGTTGTCCTAAATAATTAATCCACAAATAGGTGCAATGCAACGTATGCGATACAGTGACCGTTAGTTAAGCTTTTGAGCTTTCCTTTGGCATATCGCCATTAATAATGCAAACACAATTTTAGAGGCGTATAGATGACTAACCTACTGTATTTAAAGTTCACTGTTCGTAATGATCTTCAGAACGTAATGAGGTCGGAAGTAGTTGTGTTGCTGTTCTTGTCTCAAACTGTTTACGCAGCTGAGGAAACATCGGCATATTCTCATTCAGCATTCTTCACAACGTAGGAAAATAAACGACTCATGGGATACGTTGTAGAAGAGTTTGAGTCAGCCAGTTTAATATCCTGCGGTCAACTATGTACGAGGAACGAATGGTGTACGTCTACAAACTTCATAATGTCCTCCCAAAAGGTTACAGATGGAACCTGTGAGCTGAACAAACACGAGATTTCTGTGATCAACGAAAACGCACAGTTTTATGATCAATGCGGCGTTACGTTCGCAATTCATGAAGGTAAGTCATCTACTGGCACGACATTTAGAATTCCATGAAAGCTGGCTGCAGGAATTATTTCGGCACGTTAACATTTCTTGGGGGAAATAATGCTGTATTACGTTGCGAGTAAACTACTCCAGCTAACCTTTTTTTTTTCATTGGAATACAAACATTATTTACAACACCAATATCATTTACAATACTAACATTGCTGACGATACCTAAATTGTTTTCAATACTAATATAATTTATATTAGTATCACCCAACTAGTGGACTAATGCAAATCCTGCATTTTGATTGGCTACGCTACTANCGACTAGTTGGGTGATACTAAAACAATTAGACCCTTCGCCCTCAAGGGCCACGGGTCAATAGCCCATGAGGCGAAGCCGAATGGGTTATTGACCGTACCCGTAGCCCTTGCGAGCTACGGGTCTAATTGTTAAATAGTAATATTACTTACAGTACTAACATTACGTATAATTACATTGCAAATTAACTTTTTTACACTGTCTGTTTCCTCAAACCTTTTAACAGTTAAGTAATGAACCAAAAAATGTCATTCAAACAGAATAATTTATTGAAAACATTTTTATTTTATATGTGTGTACATATATTGGCAGCAAATAATGTGAACATTTAATTTACTGAAAGTTTAAGATCTGTTCAACGAATTCTCTGCTGATTGACTTACGTCGACACGATGACGTCTAATTATCGTGCATTTCTCTCTCATTTTTGGATTCTCGTTTGAATTGTAATAATTTGAAAGATTCTCACGATATTTTGCCTTTTTCATTTTTTTAAAATTGTTAACTAACCTATTCAGAGATGTGTTATCACCACCTGCCTAAATGATAATTCGTGTTTGCTTGACAAGGAAAACCAAACCCTGTCCTGGGTCGCGGACAAGAACATGGGTGGAGACAGATGCGAAGGTAAAATCGATTGTAACAATTTGCGAGAATTCATTGCATCGGTTCAGATTTTGGTAACTGTCTTCAATAAAACGAAAGTCTCAACAAGCAACCAACAAACAAACAAAAAAGAAAAGACAGTAACAAACCAGTGCGACTGGCTTGCTATGTGTGAATGGAAGTCAGGTGCACTAATGGACGGCTTGAATATAATGAACCCGAAGTAGATAATTAACTTAACGCCACTTTTTTCAACAGGTATACAAAACACAGCAAACGTTCAGTGAATTAATTTATCAATTTGGTTTTGTATGGTTTCTTTTCCCTTGAAACGCTTCCTTCTTTCAAAATCTGGCATGCCCGTAACGCTTTAAACCAAACATGGCATCTTTCTTTTTGGTCGACCTCAAATTACTGCCAGGGAGAAAACGTTTCTCTAGGAGTGATATTTAATTGCAACCGTACACACAAGAGCGTAAATTTACTTCGCTTACGACTGTAAAGAATTGTTTATCGTTTTTCTTGCAATTACTTTAACAAACAATAGTGGATATTATTAAATCTCTTCCAAATTTAGTACCCTCGACGTGCAGGGAACTTCGTGACCAGAATTTGTAAGCAGCTCACTTCAGATAATTAAACCAATAGGCCATTTCAGGGGTTACCTTGTGCCTTTGTTTCAAAACGGATCCACATACAAAACCCTTCATATGAAAACGAGTTCGGTTTACATGAAAATGAACCTGTAGTGGAAACACATTTCTCTATGAATGGTTTCCCACGAAGGCTCGTTTTGACGCAGAGGTAAAGGGCAATGCGGGAAGGTCCTATCACATATGTTTTCATGTAACATCATTACCGCAGGTGATAGTCTTAGACAAAATATTTCTAATCAG